GAACCCTCATGGAGAACCACCTGGGATGTGCCCCAGAGTCAAGACGGGCAGGCCAGCCAGGCGGGCATGGCCACTAGTGTCACATGCCACCTAAAAACCATTAGGATGAGAACAGTAGTGAATTGGACCTTTAAAGAGCTATTTCTGAGGCAGAGTAGTAAGAGCTAGGGCAGGGGTGGGCAAACTTTTTGACTCGAGGGCCACAATGGGTTCTTAAACTGGACCGGAAGGCCGGAACAAATGCATGGATGGAGTGTTTGTGTGAACTAATATAAATTCAAAGTAAACATTACATAAAAGGGTACCGTCTTTTTTTTTTTAGTTTTATTCATTTCAAACGGGCCGTAGTTTGCCCACGGCTGGGCTAGGGAGACTCCTTCACAAATAGAATAAGGGAAACTGAGACAAAATAATTAATCAAGGCGAATAACGGAGCAATTTACAGCTCAAACTGAATCACAAGGTTTCATCTTCACTCACCAGGGACCCTTAGGATCAAATGGTTTACACAGGTCAGACCATCCCTGGGCAGACGGGCTTTGGTCCCAGTCCCTCTTTGATGACATTATTTGAAAAGAAAACTAATCAGAAAATAACCCTGATGCCTCCATTAGCACATTTTGATGAATCAACATACTGAAGGACACACCTGGAAAGCTAATGAGTATTCTGTTGAGACTCTCCCCCCCAACTGCCCCTCCCCTGCACCCCAAACCTTCCCTAGGATTCCCACTGGCCAAAAAAGATAAAAAAGCCACAAGACAAAGGAGCCACAGCCCGCCCATGCCTTGTATCTCTGCTCTCTTTTTCATAAACTCTAGGGTCCCCACGAGACTTGCCACCTGGGGAAGAGTGAGCAGAACTCAAGTCTTGAGGTTGCTGAACCCAGGTCCCATCTGACCCCTCGGTCAGACACCTGGTGCCATTCTCACAGTCACCAACAAAAGCAGCCCACCTGGGCTCATTTCTTTCCTATAATATTTCTAAGAAGCCAAAGCAGCCCCATCTAGGCTCTCTCCTGTTGCTTCTGCCATCCTAAGTCCTTCCTTCATTCCACTGTCCCCAGCTGTAATAAACGTACTCTCAAAATCACCTGGACTCGTGCTGTGAAATCTTTCCTGCATGATGTCAGGAACCCACACACTACAGGATGGCCCCAGGCAAACCCGCCCCAGTCCTGGTCCCAGATACAAGCCTGCGGGGGCTTAGGGGAAGAAGAACTGAAGAGGTGCTTGAAGCTAATGCAGGTGACTTTCTAAAGAAATTAGCTAAGGAGGAGAAGGAGACCACTTTTCTTAGAGGTGCGGAGAAGTCAAGGAAAGGATTTTGCTTTGTGTTGTGTTTTTTTTTAGAACATCCGTGAGATTTTTCAGACTCCCTGGAATAGGACTCTCCATTAAAGAGAAGGAGCCTCTGAAGAGAACTGTAGGTGGAGGTGGGGGCAGAGGTGATTGTGATCCTCGTGAATCAAGCTTCCAGAGGCAGCAGGAGATTCCATCAGTAAATGTTTGAGTATCTACTACGTGCAAGGCACGGTGCTAGCTGCGGGCATCCAGAAATACAGAGCTCAAAGTCCAGAAGGGGAGCCGGACCATTCACATCCTACCTGTAATGACCTGCTGTGGCTAGGTGCAGGGAGGGGGCGGGCCGTGGGGAAAGCTTCCGGGGGCTCCCCTAACACTTGACAGCTGAGCTGAGTTTTATTTTTTTTAATATATTTTATTGATTTTTCTCAGAGAGGAAGGGAGAGAGATAGAGAGCCAGAAACATCGATGAGAGAGAAACATCGACCAGCTGCCTCCTGCACATCTCCCACTGGGGATATGCCCGCAACCAAGGCACATGCCCCTAACCGGGATTGAACCTGGGACCTTTCAGTCCACAGGCTGACGCTCTATCCACTGAGCCAAACCAGTTTCGGCTGAGCTGAGTATTGAAGGGTGTTTAGTCGTTGGCTGACTGCGAAGGTGTGTCCAGGAAGAGGAAGTAACGTGTGTGAAAATGCCCAGGAGAGTCACCACAGACCATCTGAAGGGAATGGGAGTGGTAAGGGAAGAAGCTCAACAGGCAGAGAAAGGTCGTATTATAAAGGGACTTGGGAATTCTGCCCAGGAGCCCCTAAGGCAATGGGGAGCCATAAAAATATTTTAAGCCGGGAAGTGACATTATCAGATATGCTTTTAAGGGCAATTGCTCAGCCTCCAGGAAGAAGGACAATAAAAGACAGGATGAAGGTCTGGGCCAAGCCAAGAGTGACAGGGATGGAGGAGGAGGGACAAGTCAGAGAATCATGCTGGGGGCAGACTCAGCCTGACCATCTGAGGAACCTGTTGGACATGGAATGACAGAGGGAGAGGTCTCTAAGCCAGTGGTTCTCAACCTTCTGGCCCTTTAAATACAGTCCCTCATGTTGTGACCCAACCATAAAATTATTTTCGTTGCTACTTCATAACTGTAACGTTGCTACTGTTATGAATCGTAATGTAAATATCTGATATGCAGGATGGTCTTAGGTTACCCCTGTGAAAGGGCCGTTCGACTGCCAAAGGGGTCGCGACCCACAGGTTGAGAACCGCTGCGAGGGAGATGAGGATGATGGGAACAGAGTCCTACCTGCTTGTAGTAGTCCACATAGGTGATCTCCGTGCCGTCCCGCCTCTGGAAGGAGTGTGTGGGCTTCACCGACCAGTCAATGTCGTCAACACGATAGGTTCGGTTATTGTATCTGGTAAATACCAGAAATCTTAAAAAAATTTTTCAAATCATGTAAGATAAACAGCAGTTTCACCACACTTTTAATTCAAAGCCTCAGACGCCATAATTTCACAAATATGAGAGTAACACAAAAATAGTCACTAAAACAAGTGACCAGCTCTTATCTGCAAAGAGTAGTAATTAACTCTTCACTCTACAGGACGACCTCTGTATTGCAACAGAGCTGGTAGAACACTTGTTAGACTGCAAACTGTTTTTCTCACTGATAGACACTCTGACTCCTGGTAAATCATTGATAAATGTTGGAAGGCCAACCATTGTTCAAAACTTTCCCATCAGCTTCCAGTGTCACACAGATTTTTTTTTTTGAGCTCCTACATAACTTTTGTTTTTCTTTTTTTTAAAATTTTTTAAAATTGATTTTAGAGAGAAAGGAAGGGAGAGGGAGAGAGATAGAAACATCCATGAGAAAGAAACATTGATGGGCTGCCTCCTGCATGCCCCGTACTAGGGATCGAGCCTGCAACCCACGCAGGACCCCTGACCTGGAATCAAACCTGCAAACTCTTGGTGCATGGGATGATGCTCAACCAACTGAGCCACACTAGCCGGGCCCCAGATAGATTTTCTGATTAAACAAACAAACCACCGAAAACACACACACACACACACACACACACACACACACGAAGAGGGTGGATGAACCGATGGATTCTGGGATGCCACTCTATCTTCCATCTAGGGCTGGCCCTCGGCAAAAATGCAAAGCAGGTCAGCTAAGATCACTCTAAGCTTTTGTCCCCTTCCGGCTGTGTGGCTGGAGTATCTCCTCCTTACCTTGCTGGGGGACTTTAAATCAGTGAGACATACCAGTCAGGAAGCTCAAGATAGGAGAAGAAGGAGGCCTTCTCACCCCAGGTAGTGGGAATCTAACCAGTCCCGCCTCTAAACCAGAAAAACAAGAGCCCGACTAGGAGAAGGCCAGCAGGTCCTCCACAGGAGGTGTTGTGGATGAGCAACAATATGCGGAGAACTTTTGGGTACTCAGGAAGCTACAGCATCTGCCCGTGTGTGATTCAGTTCAAGATGGATGAAGGCAAATTATGTACAGGCAAACCTAGAGGCTTGAAAGGTCTCAGTCTTAAAGACCTCATACTCTTCTAGAGAAGAGGACATGGGCATTATATTCTATCCTACACTATCATTAAATGAAATAAATGACAATGAAGAGGTGGCTATAAGCAACATGCTATGAGAGCAGCACAGGGGAGGGCACTGAGGAATTCCAACTGGGCGGACAGGTGTTGGCAGTGACGTTTGAGCTGGGCTTTGTGGAAGTATATTTAAAAGGCAGAATTAGCCTGGCTGGCGTGGCTCAGTGGTTGAGCGTCATGGTTCCATCCCTGGTCAGGACACGTGCCCAGATGGTGGCCTCGATCCCCAGTGTGGGGCATGCAAGAGGCAGCTGATCAATGATTCTCTCTCATCAGTGATGTTTCTATCTCTCTCTCCTTCTACCTTTCTCTCTGAAATCAATAAAAATGTATTTAAAACAAATAAATAAATAAATAAGAGGCAGAATTAGGGGTAGGGAATCTAGGCGAGTGCAGCGAGAGATAATTCAGGCCCATGTCAGATTGTGGACAGTCCAGAACGCCACTCAAGGAAGTCTGAACTCTAGACAGCTGAGAACAGCCAGGTCTTCTAAACCGATGGTGAACTGATCAGATCTGTGGTCAGGCCAATACCCTTGAGACAGGCCAGCAAACCAGGACAAGTGGAACAGGGAAACTGAGATAAACAGCCGAGCAATTTACAGCCACCTATTTTCCCTAACCAAAGACACTTAAGAGTAAATGGTTTACACTTTCCTTCCCAACCAGAGGGCAAATTGCTTAAATCACCCTGCTCAGGCAGACAGATGGCAGAAATCCAATTAGTGCCATCTGTGACAACCACACCCAAGGACAGATGAAGTTAAGGAAATAAATCTCAGTTTGGTGCATGAGCATCAAGCTGATGAATATTCTATTGAGATCCTCCCCAAGACTTCCTTAAACTCCCAGCCTTTAAAATCCCTCACAAAGGACTCAGGGTGCACACTCCCTCCTGGAAGCATGCCCACGCCTTACCCTTCCCCTCTTCTTCCCTCTCAGACGTTCATCTCCTAAATGCTAAGGGACCCCCGGAGCCTTGCAATGAGGGGAGCAATGGGCCGTGGCAGCTAGTCCGGAGCTAGCCTCTGATCCTGTCTCCAAGACCCCCTTTTCTCTGACTGCTCAGTGAGCCAGAGCAGCCCTGCCCAGGCTCATTTCCCCACCTGTTCTCTCTCCTTTTGCTTCTTCCATCCCAAGCCCATCCCTGCCTCACTGTCCCCAGCTTTAAGAAATTCACTCTCAGCCCTAACCAGTTTGGCTCAATAGATAGAGTGTCAGCCTTCAGACTGAAAGATCCCAGGTTTGATTCTGGTCAAGGGCATGTACCTTGGTTGCGAGCACATGCCCTGTAGGACGTGTGCAGGAGGCAGTTGATGGATGTTTCTCTCTCATCGATGTTTCTAACTCTCTGTCCCTCTCCCTTCCTCTCTGTAAAAAATAAATAAAATATTTTTTTAAAAAAGAGGAAAAGAAAAGAAATGCACTCTCAGAAACCACCTGGGCTTGTGTTGGGAAATCCTTCCTGCACAAGGCAAGAACCCACACATGATAAGCCAGCCAGGTCCCTGTCCGGTCACACCTTGATGCTATTCCTGTGCCCAAATACCGTAAGTAATTCTCTGGGGAAAAGGTTATTTGAAAGCAGGCTCTCACCTTGTAAGGACAATGAGCCCAACCAGCTGTTTTTCGCACATCTGGGTGAAGCTGGACATGCCAGTTTGGTAGCAGAGAGCAGTCATGAATTCCAGAACAGTCTCATTCCGCAGGATTTTGTAACTCACATTAGCACTGAACAGGAGCTTGCTTTCAAAGTATGACACAGAAATGGCGAACCCCGGCCAAAGGGACAACCTTAAAAAAAAATTTAAAAATTGTGATATAAAAAAAAAAACCCAACACATTTTAAAATGGTGCTTTGGCATTCCAATGCTCTAGGTTTTTATGAAATTTTTTTTCTTTAGTCTAATTTTCTTCCATTTGCTGACTAAAAACTTTAGATATTTCCAGCTGGAGTGTCTTTAAACACGTATTTAAGGTAAAATATATTCCTGTACAACAGGGCTGCTCAATCTTGACACTAGTGGTGTTGTGGACTGGATAGTTTTTGTCAGGGGCCGTGCTGCGCATTGCGGGATGTTAGCATATCCTGGCCTCTGCCCACTAGGTGCCCCCCACATCCTCAGCTGCAACAACCCAAAATGTCTGTAGACATTGTCCCATGTCCCCCGGGGGACAGAACTGCACCTGGCTGAGAACCACAGCGTGAAAACACCTGTGCTCCGAAGAGCACAGTGACTCAGTGGTGACGACAGTGGAGAGACTTATAGCCAAGGTTAGGCAGTGATACCATGGACAGACATACAAAAGAAACTGCAGCAGAGGCCACAGCTCCTCCCCACACTTGTGAACATTCTAGACTGAAGTCTTTAATATGAAACAGTGACAAAACGGCATGAAGGAGTAAACAAATATTTTTTAAAAATCATTTCCGTTTATATTTTGTGTACTTCAGTCGCTGGGATACGAAGCCAGCCTTCACTCACTCCAGCCCAGTACACACTGGACCTGCGAGAATTTCTAATCCAGATGGAAAGACAAGCGCTGGGGATGAACAGCAGGCCTTTTGTAGACCACGCTGCCGCTCTGAATTAGCATACGGAAAGGCCCATCTTTTCCTCCGCCAGGCAGACACCCTGCCTGCATTTCCAATCTTTATGTGCTTCCCCCTTTATTTACATATCTGTCCTGGGCTGCTGGCAGCCTCTGTCATCAGCTTGGCCAGTAGTTTGGAGAGCACAACATCCAGTGAAGACACAGCTGAGCACTTTCTCTGCAGCGTCTACTCCCCAGGTTAGAGTGAACATTCTGCAGGCGTTCCTAACGGTTCTAGCCTGCACTGGGGTAGCTGAGTTGACTTGTTTGTCTGACCTCTGCTTACCCAATGATTTCATGTCAACCTCCCGGCCACGCTAACTTCCTGACAGTGAGAAAACAGAACACTAACCATGTGGTAAAGCATAATATAGCTTATTCCCCTTTCGTTATTACTTGTCACACAGAGAGCACTCAGTGTCTGAATTCTTTCTAGGATGTATGATCATGACCTAGCACACTAATATAAGAAAACTGGCTGCTGGCTTCACATGACCACTCCCCCATTCTATAAAAAAACTTGAAATTTAAAAAAACACACATTACTTTCCATGCCATGGAGTCTCTCATAGGAGGCATAACAGTATAATATTGCATCGTAAATTATGGTGCTTACATTATAACAATTTCAGAGTAACAGAATATAAATAAACCTACTTGTGCTGGGGAATTTCCACTGGCTCCGAAGGCTTATAGAAGTTCCGTCCAATTTGGTACATGGACAGTTTTTTCAAGATCCTGCAAGTATATATATATATATATTTTTTACTCTTTGGTAAACATCAGTGAATAAGAGTGTAATTCTAAGTTTTTACCCTTCCTGAACATAATAGTAAAAATAGGTAGAAAGTCAAGATCTTTATAGCCTTGGGAAGTTCAGATACTAAAGTACATATGAGTGTGTACATATAAGAACGATAACTTCATATTTGAGAATGACATATGATTATCTGTCTGGACTTAACCGCAATGGTAAGTGTGGGGCCACTGTAACAGTTCCGATGCTGGTTCTAAGCTTCTGGTTAGCATGGATGGGGTGAGGCAGGCCATATTTGAAGGCTCTTCTGGTCTACCCCCCATTTTGAGATGAGAAGGCCGTTTCTAAGGAGGCTGTTCCAGCTGCCCAGGTGCTGCCGAATAACATGGTGCCTCTTTAGCAACTAATTCTGGTCCCCTCTGGGATCTGCCACATCATTGCTCTGAGGCTGTCTGGCTCATGCGGGAAACGTAAGGGTTTGAAGTCAGAAAACAGGCTCCAACTGCGTGATTCTGGTTGTAGATGTCACTGAGCCTCAGCCTTCCCATCTGTGAAGTGGGGGTTTTCACAGTACCTGCTTCAGGGCACTCGAGTGAGGATCAAGTAAGATCAACTACAAGCGGAAGAGCTTTCTAACCAGAAAGCACCTTCAAAATGTCAGCTGACTTAACAGAGTCCCCTCTCAGGAGGGTACATACAAGACTGGCTCCTGAAGGGCGTTACACGGCACTGAACTGAAGCCCAGGTAACTTCTGAAGATGAGAAGCCTGACGAGAATGAGAAGATAATGTATCCGTGCAGGGGAAGCTCCTTCATGTGCCCCACTCAGCAAAACCACAAACTGCCGCTGTCATCCTGTCTAGAGTTCAGTGTTGAGCAAAGAGCTCGAATCTTCGGCTAACAGTCACCTGGCTGTCCACACCGGCACCATGGGAAACAGCGGTTCGCCTGCTTTGTGTGCCCACGTGCCACCGGGCAAGCTCGCTAACGTGCATTTTCAGATCCCACTCACGAAATCTGTTCCCTGGGTCCATTGAGGGGCAGGGACTCTGCGCTTCACCAAGCCCCACGCTACCCCCAAATGACTCTGAAGTCAATGATCCGCATCTGTTTGAAGGACTGAGCAGCTTAGCCACTGCCTCCCTTCTGCCCCTGAGTGACAGCAGAGAGCAGATGGCAATGCTCTTTTATCAACTAGGAGAAAAGCAACCCTTCGGTACTAACCCAGACATACACAACTTTTAAGAGGAGGAGGTAGAGGGTCCAGAAAAGGAAGAGAAGGGGAAAGGCACCCTCCCTGCTACCATGGGACATCACAACCCTGGAGTTCTGTCTCAACTCAGGTAACACTGGACAACAGCTAGTGATGCCCGTTAGCTAGAGACACGAATACACGAAGGCACATGGGAAATGGCTCCAAGGATGGCGTTGTGGCTGGCAGGTTGCCTACAAAATGGTTGATACCCTTAATACCCAGGCTCCGTGCTGAAAGGCATTAGCCTGAATTAAATTCCCATTTAAGGCAACATTTACTTTTTGAAGATGATGCTGAAGACCTGGATGCACACAGGGGAGCTTGCCGGCAGCTCCCGGGTCAGAGTGACAGTCATCTTTACGGTCTCGCCTCTTCGAGTTTCACTTGACAATTCTGTGACCTGGGAAAAGAAGTACTTAATACGCACGCCACCGATTATCCCCACGTGTGCAATGCAGCTGAGATGAAACCGCCGCAGGTTAACGCAGGTTAACAAGAACACAGCTGCAGGTGTTACCTTGTGAGTAATAATGTCATCAACACGTTATGTCTGAAGGGGTTATTGTCTCTGTATCTTGCTAATTCTAGAAACGTAACACGTCTCACTACTCTGTAACTTCTTAATGGAGAATCAAAACCAGACGCAGCGTTCAAAGATTCTATCCAAAGTGAATTCCAGGGCAGTGGCTCTTGACTTTTTTGGGTGGGGGCGGGTGTGGGTGGAGGTGGGAGAACGATTAGGTCACAAATCCTTTAAGCGTCTGATAAAAATCACAGTCATTCTCTCAAGAAAGTGCCACACACGTATACACCACAGTGATGTACATAATGTACCCATTTTCCGGGAGTTCGTGGATTTCAGAGTGCCACCTCTCAAACGTTTATTCGGAGCAGAGAAGAAGAGAGGAATAAAGCAAAGGTCAGGATAGACAAGAGGGGCAGTAAATGTGGGGAAAGAGAAGAAAGTGGTGGAAGTTTAAATAGACTAGCAATCTGATTTTGTTGATTTTGAAAGGTCTAGAGAAATCCCCAGGGCTCTAACAATCTGGAACAATCTTCTAACACTAAAATGAATGCATGAATAGGTTTCTACACCAGCTGTCCAACTAAAGTTAAAGTCCCTGAAGCTAGACAGAGCTTCATACAGATTTTAGGGATAAAAGCACGCACACACACCACAGAATAAACAAATCAGTCAATACAGATCAATGATGAAGGATTTTTCAGAAGGGTAAGCAATTGGAAGAGGTCAATTCACTTGTAAGCATGTATGTATTTTGCCCTAATTTTCTATAGTTAACGTGTAGTTTTAGCCACTTTTAGGTTGAACCAAGAATGTAGGGTAGGCATGGCTCATTGCATGGAAACAAAGAAAAGCAGGTTCTTTCCCAGGAGCTGAAATGTTTCATCGGGATGACTTCTTGCTTCAGATAAAATTGCAGAGAAAGCAGAGGTGGGGAGCTGCAGAAAGAGCTCACCCATGTGTGGGAGAAGTCTAGCAGCCAGCAGAGCTGAGGGGCTCTCAGAGCCACAGGCTTCAGGACTAAGAATGAAGACAACAAAGGATGGTGACCTGCGCGCGTGGCTAGGATGGAGGGGCAGCAGATGGTGTCCCTATTAAAGCATACCTTTAAGACTGACACCAGTGCCTCATATTTCACATCATGGGACAAATCATGAAATAAATGACAGTTTTAGAATCAGAGATTGATGCAACGTAATTATTAGGATACATGAGCACAACTGTGCAGGAGCGAAAAAAGATAGTAAATTTAAAGCCCTGAAGCCATTGGCCAAATGGTGTTTCTTAAAGCCTTGCCTATTTGGGGAAAAGTTTTAAAAGGATGCCTATTTCACCTGGCCGGTGTGGCTCAGTTGGTTGAGTGTCGTCCCATGCACTAGGAGGTCACCAGGTTCAATTCCTGGTCTGGGCACATGCCCAGGTGCAGACTGGATCCCCAGTAGGAGATGTGAAGGAGGCAGCTGATCATTGATTCTCTCTCATCATTGATGTTTCTATCTCTCTCTCTCCCTTCCTCTCTCTGAAATCAATAAAAATATATTTCTAAAAAGATGCCTGTGTCACTCTAACCAGTTTGGTTCAGCGGATAGAGCATGGGTCTGGGGACCAAAGGGTCCCAGGTTCAATTCCAGTCAAGAGCATGTACCTTGGTGCAGGCTCCTCCCCCAGCCTGGACACTGGTCAGGGCACATGCTGGAGGCAACCAATCAATGTGTTTCTCTCACATCAATATTTCTCTCTGTCTTTTCCTCTCTCTTCCACTCTCCCTTAAAAAAATCAATGGAAAAATATCCTCAGGTGAGGATTAACATACAAACAAACATCAAAAATGCCTATTTCAAAGAAAAATCACCTTTAAAAAAAGTAGTTGAAAAAGTAGTGTTTGTATTACAGTTCTTATTTTCAAAATGCCAGAACATCAATTTCCTAATTGGGAAATAAATTGCTGATGAGGTCTCAATTAGGAAGTCTTCTTGCTCTGGGCCATGGGGACAGGAAAGAAGAAAGGAGTGAAACAGTTATTCCGACTGTCAGGAAAATCAGCTGACCTCATAAATATAGATGGATGAGCATTAATGTATTCACATGTGTGTGTGTGTGTGTATTACAAAGTAACCATACTGTACCCTTTCTTCTAGCTTTTCTGAGAGAAAAAGGATGACACCATCAAATGCCTTTGCTTTGTTGGAAAGTTCCTTCTGACTATACAGCAAAGCAATTCTCATGCTTCTAGATTCCAAATCCGGCATATATGTGACATGGTACTGGTACAGCTTCCAGTCCTGGGGCAAATCTAAGCTAAAAAGATTTGTGACCAGCTTCACAGGTATTCCACTGGAACCTGAGGAAAAACAAATAAAAAACATTTTATAACAAAATAAAACAAAAAATATCACCACGTTAATATTAATCACATCATTTAAAAATTTATTTGCATATGCATAGTTGTTTCTGTAAAGCCAAGATTCTTGCTCAGGTGACACAAGACAAGCTAATCACCTGCAGCCTGATAGCATTTATGGAGTCCTATAAACATAAGTTTGGGAATTAAAAAGGGATTCTGTGTAAAACAAGCCTCATAAGAACATGCGAGCAGACCGGACATTCCTGTCCCTGGGAGAACAGAAGCATCTGAATTCAGCTACCCTGGAACTCCTTCCCAAGCCCTGACTCTGTGCAATTCAAATCAGGCCGACTGATATTTTAGGATGCTGCTCTGAAATTACGCTGCTCTCAAATGGTGAAGACACTGTTCAGTTCTTACCACGAATACAACCCCCAACCTCTTGGAAATCCAGGTAATCAAGTTAACTATACTTCTGGAAGTTCTCAATCAGTTCAATCAGTTTCTAGACCGCTAGACGCTCTGCAAATCCCAGAGAAGGCCCTCGGAGACTGAGGGCAGGAAGCGTTGTATCAAATGGGCACTATTTTGTTTTTCTCATGGAGGAAGTGGAAGCATGAGCCCCCACGGTAGTAAGAAAGAAAAAGTAAAATGTGTGTCTCAGTATTTCCTCAGCTTCTGCCTGTGGCATAAGTCTGTTAGGAGCAGGGGATTATTGTGTTATTTTAATTAAACAAAAGCTTTCTTTTGTTCTTCCAGATCCTGAGGCAATGACAACATATTTTAGCTGCTCATATTAATGGACAAAGAGACGTCATCCTAGAATGTCAAAGCCGGCAAGGTGCTTTGAGATCATCTACACCATTATTTGCAAACTAATCATGAGCTGCTAGTGCTGCAGCTATGAAAGAGCGTGAGGCAAACCCCCGTGTCTTCTGAAAGACTCGAACACGACAGAAGCGGAGCAGAGTGCCTGGCACATAGTTGGGACAAGCACTGGTTCGTGAAACTTTGTTTCAATTATATGTGTGCACTTCTGGATAACAATACTAGTACATGCATTTCTTAGTTTGTTGCATGGTTTTAAAAAGTCTGGAAAAGGCCCTAGTCGGTTTGGCTCAGTGGAAAAGAGTGTCTGCCTGCAGACTGAAGGGTTCTGGGTTCGATTCTGATCAAGGGCACATGCCTGGGTCTCAGGCTTGACCCCCAGTAGGGGGTGTGCAGGAGGCAGCCAACCAATGATTCTCTCCCATCATTGATGTTTCTATCTCTCTCTCCCTCTCCCTTCCTCTCTGAAATCAATAAAATATATATATATTTTTTAAAAAGTCTGAGAAAGGCTGATCTGCATCAAGGAGTCTTAACTTTTGGGAAGGAGTCACAAAGCCTTTGGAGAATCCAATGAAAACAGCAGACCTATTTCCCTGAAAATGCATATGCCCACAATTCTGGGGGCAATTTCTGGGATAAGAATTCCAGAAATAGGCAACACTTTTCTTTTTCAGCTCAAGTCCAGAAACATTATTATATCTGCACAGGACAAGGGTTGGGAAAGAGACAAAACATCTTTTTAACTCCTATCCCAGCTGTAAGGAGAAAATCTTTTCCACAAGTGAAATGTCACTTTGGAGAAACTATTACTATTTCTATTAATAAAAGAGAGAATGGAAACTAAAACAACTGGTATCTAGATAATACCTTGAATATAGCAGAGGTTCAATAAATATCTTTTAAGTTAACATATGAACTTATTTATCTTAGATCTAAAAATTAAAATTCCTTAAGCAAGATTTGGTGACATTTAAAAAAATAAGTCACAGGAAGACTAGGTACCTGCTTTGCTGTCTCTCACATGGGCCAGTTTCTCTCTGGTACAGACCCCCAAATCCATGACATCCGGGAAGATTTTCCCTCCTCTTTTCATGAGAGTACTTTCAGCATTACCAGGAGATACGACATCTTTACCTAAAATATGAAGAGAACGCCATAAAAACTCATATTTTTTTAGCGATATTGTTTACAGCTACTATATAAAAAATGCATCTACAACTAAAACTCAGATTTTTGTGGTTTTTAATAAAACTGGCCCACATTGCCAAAAACAATCTTGACTGTACAGAAGTCTTCAGCATAAAAATTAAAAATTGGGGACACCTGGCATGTTTTGTTAGCAATAACAGACCCTGAGTTAGTCCTACCTCATAATATTTTGGTCTGCTGTGATTCCCCTCGTGGCTAAGCTCTATCTCCCAACGTCCCACTCCACACCCACTTATGCTCTCCCTCCTTCAGCGCTTGTGTAACACCCAAAGACCAAGACTGTCCACACCAACTTCTGCACAGACTGGGGCGGAAGCTCTCATCGTTCCCAATCACAAGAAGAGAAATGCCCAGGACACTGCCAAAAGTTTTTATGCGAGATCATTTCCTGGGGAGTGCAAGCCAACATTTCAGTCACCTTTGGGCATATTCCTCACAGTCAGGTTCTAGGAAATATCAAATTAAAACCCAATGACTATTTTTGTTAAAATGAGTACCAAGAGGTGTTGATTTTTAGATATTACTTGGGCTTTCTGAAGATAGCATGAAAATATAAAAACAAAGACTATTCTCACAAAGCGATCTGACTCATAGTGTGACAAATCTCTGACTTGACCACCAGCCTTTGATAGTATAACTCAGTGGTCGGCAAACTGCGGATCGCGAGCCACATGCGGCTCTTTAGCCCCTTGAGTGTGGCTCTTCCTAAGCCTTAGGAGTACCCTAATTCAGTTAATAACAATGTACCTACCTATATAGTTTAAGTTTTAAAAATTTGGCTCTCAAAAGAAATTTCAATCGTACTATTGATATTTGGCTCTGTTGACTAATGAGTTTGCCGACCACTTGTATAACTAAATGCAATACCCCAAACAGCACCATCACCTGCTCCAAAGTGTGCTCCATTCCTTTCTCAGTGGAGTCTGAGTCTACCCGGAAAAATATCAAAATTTATTTAATTTTTAAAGACTATCCCCACTAGATTATCCATAGCATTCACTGATCATGGTTTCAAAAGATATTGGGTGGTTTCTAAAAATTCAATCTACCGCAGACTATCAGTTGCCAGGGGTGAGGGGGAAAAGGGAAATGGGGATTCATGCGTACAGAGTTTCAGTTTTGCACGATGAAGAACGTCCTAGAGATGGATGGTGCGATGGCTGCCACTGGACTGTACAATTAAAAATGGCCAAAATGCTTAATTTTGCTTATGCATATTTTACCACCATTTAAATAAATAAATAAAAATGCAATCTGCCCTCAAAAAATGAAGGGTTTGCATCACTTGGTAGCCACAAGAATGTGCAGCAGGCATGGAGAGGAAGCCCCGAGGAGAAGTTGGGGTAGGTTGGAATGGTGGCGGCAGCACTGAGAGCAGGTCTTCTGAGGTACCACGTGCCCTTCTGTGGGTCTAGATCACAAAGGGCACTTGAGCAGGGCTAGAAAACCCGGCAGAGAACAAGAGAACCAGGCACAACATGGGTAGAACGGCTGAACATCCTAAGAGTCTAGAATAGCAGTTCTCAACCCTTGGGTCGCGACCCCTTCGGCAGTCGAACACCCTTTCACAGGGGTTGCCTAAGACCATCCTGCATATCAGATATTTACATTATGATTCATAACAGTAGCAACATTACAGTTATGAAGTAGCAACGAAAATAATTTTATGGCTGGGTCACAACATGAGGGACTGTATTTAAAGGGCCAGAAGGTTGAGAACCACTGGTCTAGAAGAACCTAAGTGCTTAGAGAGTAGTAGTACATTGTTATTAGCAACCAACCACTTAACTTCATGGCCAGAGCAAGGGAGATGGCTAATAGACTGCAGCAGTGGTTATGAGCTGAATTGTGTATCCCCAAGTCCTAACCCAGCCGTGGGCAAACTACGGCCCGCGGGCCGGATCCGGCCCGTTTGAAATGAATAAAACTAAAAAAAAAAAAAGACCGTACCCTTTTATGTAATGATGT